GTTGGTGCCACAGTTGGTTATTTCTGGTGCGCGTCTGCGGCTGCCCCGACGGCAGCTTCTGCCATTGGGACTTGCAGTTGGTGCTGAAATAGTTTGGGCGACAGTATCGGCAGCAGTCACTGCCGGTCTCTTAGGCTTCACGTCGAGTGGCATTGCGAGCGGTTCCATCGCTGCATGGATGATGTCCACAAGCGCCACCGCATATGGGGGAGGGGTCCCAGCTGGAGGATTCGTGGCGTCCCTGCAAAGTATCAGTGCGGTTGGCTTGGGGGCGTCGGTTATCCTCGTAATTGGCGGGGTTGCCGTTGTCGCCGGTTTGGCCTGATGGTCGAGTAAGGAGACCGTTGCTGCTGCTGCCTCCGCTAGCGCAACAAGCTATTGGGCGTCCCCGGTTGTGCGAATCGGTACCGGTGCAGTCGCCGGCGCAATTGCTAGCTGGACCGTGTGCGTTTTGGTTGAAAACAGAAAGATTCAATATCACTTTTTAGTGATGACGGGGACTGAGCAGACTCTGCAACCGTGTAGCCTGCAAGCAGTAAGGCGCTCATATTTCGAAATTGCTAGCAAGTGTTACCGATGGAGGCAGAACACAAGATCCGACACCACCGCCGCTCGAGCATTCTGCACCTGATGCTGCCTAGCAGCTGTGGAAGAAACCGATTACTTACTGAACTTGTTTATGACCACAGAAACAGATATCTGAACCTTGATTCGTTAGGGAAGTCCGTCGCGAAAGCCGAAGACGTCAAGTTACCACAGATGCTGGACTGGGAGGCGGAACGTACTTGCTATGTATAGTTGTAGTCAGGAGAGCTTCTTGCATCTCTGACGCTAGTTAAGTGCTTGCTTATGCTGAATTATTGATACTTCTCCGCTAAAATTGTCATGCTATCAAGACGCCAGCTCGCCGCAGCAACCCCAGCGAAGTACAAATCGAGTCCATTGCCAACTTGAAGTGCGTTTATGCTGCACCTTTTTGCATTTGTATGTGGCGATCTTTGTGGCTAGAAGTCATGAATAAGTAGATAAACATGTAGCATCAGTGCCATCAGTACCTTCCGATAATGTGGGGATCGTTCCACCACGTCGGTTGCTCTAATGGCGGCGTGTCTTCGGTCCGACCGTACGACGGTGAAGGTTGAGCAATCGAAGGCGACGACGACCACTCTGCCGTAAGAAAACGGCGTCCTGCGATTCGTGTGAGCGCTCGCTGGAATATGGGTTCCCTCTCGACGAGAGTCTCGTCGGAGAAAGATCCTCTGAAGTCGTACGGACACATTTCTGCAGAGGTGTGTCGAAGCGTTCAGCTCGGTCGGTGACCTAAGCACTGCCAGGAGAAAGTGGCCAGAGACCTGCAGCGGTTGCCGCCGGTGTCTCTGGGCGTGATCAAGCTTGGCGCCTGCAAATCCCTCCGACCACGCTCAGGTCGTTGAAAAAGCGGATCGGGAAAGCAGTGCAGGCCTCGCTGGAGACGGAATTCGCTCAGGTTGACACCATCGGGGTACTCGTGGAGGGCTCCGACATCATCGAAGCGGTGGAGGCTTTGATGGTGCTGAAGCCGGACTTCGTTCGAGCCGACGATGTGTCCACCGACGTCGTCCATGTGTCCGCCGAGATCGTCTCTGTGGATGAAGAAGATTTAGTGCAAATCTCAACGGAGCCGAAATTCAATGACGTCGACATGTCCGTGACGGACTCCGTCGACGGCATCGTGTCCTCCGGCGTGACCGCGGAGGATGTGTTATCGGTCATCGATGCGGTACAAGGCTCCGCGGAGCTCAACATATTGGTGTCCGACGTTGTGGTCACTTCGGCCGAATCTTTGGACGGAGTCGTCGTGGCCACTGACGTCGTGGCAGTGACAGAAGTGATTGCCTTGAGTGGTGAGGATCTGCCTATCGCCGTGTCCGTCCTTGATGCGGACGCGGCTACAAAGCAAGATCTAGTCAACCGACTACGCAAATCTACCGTGTCAAAAGCATGCTTTGCATATTACTACGCGCTCACAGACGACGAGTTTTGCATCGCGATGATTCGGCTGCATTAAAAAAATATTTTTTGATTCTTTTTATGTCGCATTACTAACATATTCATTTTCTCATTGTAGGTAAGTCCGTCCAAGTCAGCATTGACAAGGAGTGGACAAGGAGTTGCACGACAGGCCGGAAATGTGTGTTAGAGCTTGTGGTTGCAGGATTTTTCTGTCTACCACAGCCTTCACATGATGCACTACAAGCTCCTCGCTATTTGGAATGAGGACTCGGCATTCGCAGTTGGAGGTAGTGCCAACTTGACCAAGGCCGCGTGGACGCGGAATGACGAGTTTATTTTCCACGTCGAAGGACATGGCGGTAAGTACGTGG